GCGCGACTCCGGATCCAATTGGACGGGCGAGGGTCTTGGGGGGAGAGACGTCAAGGCGAATCAACCGTTGATTCGTGACCAATGCGTTGAAACGGACCCCCAAAACCTACCAACAGCAGACGCACGTGGGCAGAAACTGAACTGAACATGAACAAAGAAGTAAAACAGATAAAAGACTGAAAAAAAATTGATTACTACTGTTCCTATTTTTTACATATATTGCTTGACTTCGGCTGTTCGTGATAGGTAATCCCGTTGGCGACGAGGACGAATCGGATCTGGCGGTTCTACATCTTCACATGAAGTAGTTGTATGTATGTCCAAATTCCGGGTTGACTTCGATTGCCCATCTTAGATTCCTAGATCATCGACGTCGTATCGCGACCTAGACGTCCTAACAGAGCGTCAAGTTGAAAGCTATCATCTATACTAATTGGACGCGTAGAGCAAGCACATGCCAATAACCCGTCCAACAAGTCCCGGGGCCCAATCATTCGCTCTTTACGATAGGTCTGGACTACATACATAGGGGGTATTGGGTAGAGACCCATAGACGATACTACGAGCGTCATTGTTGAAGTTGCAATGGCTATCTAGCATATGTAGGTAGGACCCCGTCGTATCAGACGAGATAAGAGCGGCGCAACGTGCTCTGAACGAAAGCTTCTTGTGGATTAGGGGCCCGCGTCAAATTCCTACCCAACTACAACGTTAGGTGATGGTACGCTCACTTAGACGCGCGACGTGACGTCCCACGACAGCACTTTCCATACCCCCATCTGTATATAGCGAGAGTGGACCTCAGGGAAACCCGCCCATTGCCACCATTCCCAGCGATGATACTTACTCCCGTCCGGCTATCAATCTTGGGGATCGTGATGGACGCCTAGACCAATGGGTTAAAGGTCGGTGCCGCCGTTGTGCTACGAGGACGTCGTGCTGGACCTCTGCAGTCTCGACTGCTAAGGCAAGCTGAGAGGCCTGATATGGTCTTGCAGATGCTCGTCGTGGACATGGCTGCGGTCTCATGCTTGTAACACTGGATAGTGCCGGGTTGCGTGCTGTATAGACGCCTAACTAGGGATTCTTATCATTCCAGCCCTCGAGGTGGCAGGCGGTAGTTGACGCGATGGCTTGCCGGTCAATCAACAGGCGGGGGGCTCTATGATATGACCACCACGGCAGCAGTTTTGAAGTTTCCTAACCCAGAAGATCGAGGAAACCTTCTATGAAGACCTTTTTAGCCTTGAGCTGGCGACGAAGCCGGCGAGATCCCTTGCTATAGGGTACAAGGAGCCGTTTTCGATAGGATGATTACTTACTACGTTTCTATATAAGACGGTGTAAGAGAAAGTGCCTGCCATCTTCCGGGATATTAGGAAGAACTACGTATTGGCATCGCAAGGGTAATCTATCGAGTTCGCAAGAACGTATGCGTGGCTTATGCGCTTATAATATATGAGTATCAATATAAGGACGTAAAAGAATGGTAGACCTAAACCCGAAGCTTCTTGCGTGGCTATAGAAGAGAGAACACGGACATCTGGTTAGCGATTCGTTAATCAAAGCAGATTTTAAAGGTCTCCCGAACGGGGTTAACCACTCCTGAGCGTCTGGGCTCTGTATAGAGATGTCGTCTATGATTAATAGGTTCTACGTGGTATTCCAAGGTCACTCACTAGTAGGTAATGCATTGTTTCTAGATCATGATACTCTCCTTAGTGAGACTTTGATCAATATTGGTAGAGTTAAGGAATTGATATGTTGGAGATATCCCAAGTCACTTTTATACGCCGAGTAACCGGCTTATATTCATAATCCGGGTCTCGGGCACCTTTGGTTTAATTAGGAAGTCCAAAAGGACCGGGATTTAACTAATGTTGTGTTAAAGATGTAATGCTGAAGAGCTTCACGATATACTGATATAGTGTTTGGAAAAGCAAATTACACATGGATGATGATAATAATAACGTTTACGTCTATTGGTGAAATTACCTACATATGGAGAAGAGAATTAACACCGAAATACATACCTACTTATTATGAAAACACCATATATAAGTGGTACCTTGCATCGATCTTTTTCTGGGTCAGCTTTAACTAACGAGGCCGCCAAGCTCTCGCTAATGATCAATTACATAGATTCGGTTGCTATCCGAGCAATCCGAGGCCTCCGCAATGCGAGAGTAGCAGGCGAAGTAAAGTTGTTCTCTATCTCATTTTGTCATCAACTTTTGCAAGTACGAATGGAATGTTTTATTGCGTCTGTTTGGTGTTTTTGACGGACATATTGAATAGTACTTATGGCCGGCACTTACAGCAAGTACATAGTTCATTTTGTAAGAGGGAGGCTCAAGCTTGCAGTTTAATAACCCCAGTAGCCTTTCATATAGATTTGTGTGTGATTTCGGATTGGTGATACAAACGCACCTTAGCAACTAAGAGAGGCTATTGCAGATAAATAACCTCATGCAAGGGCCCGAATCTAACAGCTCTAGATTCGTGGCGGCTCTGTGTAATATTGTATGTATGAAGATAGAGGATGTACCTTTAAGAAATATACTCTTAATTTAGATAAGTACATCCTCAAGCGGGGCATGCATTTACCCCACTAAGGTAGGAAAGTACTTACCGTTATCTAAGGTATCTTGTCGGGGAATAATGAGATCAATGCTTTCAACTATGGTAGATAAGATACGATCAACTAAGACATGCATGCCCTACGCCAGTACAAGTTTCCAATTATAAAAGCAAATCTATTGAATATAACTTTGAATAACTAGTGGGAATTGTCTATCGCAAGGCTGTCTTAATTCTTACTATGAGAGTACATGCGTACCCTTTGCCGCCGGGTCTGCCTGCCTCGACCATAGCGCAGTTCATTGGTCTATAATCCCATTACGCAATGAGGCGTTGGGTTTGAGTTGTGTTGGGAGGTTGCGACTGTGCCTTGCCTTGTACCATACTTGACCTCGACTTACCTCGCCTGCAAGCCCGAACCTTATTAGGAGCGCGGCCTCGTTGCACTGCTCCGTCGCAGTCACCCATCATCCACCCCCCATTCCTTCTCCCCTTCTTATTCTCTTCCCCTCTCTATTTGCTTTCTTCTCATCTTCATCTTCATCTTTTATTTATTTATTCGCCTTCCGTACACGACATCGAAGACGGAAAGTTGCTTAGGTAGTTATAGGGCATTTATGTCCCTACTAATAGGCACACGGCTTTAAAACATGCCTGTTCCCGTTATGGCTAAGGGTAAGTTGAAACAAGAAGTCATTTGTCGTTTGACGTAGGTACTTGGCTACCCCACGTCCAAGGACCAAAATCGTTGCGGATCACAAACGTGACTGCCTGCTGGTGGCTCGAGTCCTAATTGAATGTGGCGAATAACGCGTACAAATCAGGAACTAACGAACCACGCAAGCTTGTTTCTCTGTTTCTCTCAGCGTTTACAATTCTGTTTGATCTTGTAAATTAGGCATCGTCATTAATTTTATTCCACCAATATCCCTTCCTAATAGCTTCAATAGCTTTACACACAACTATCTTGTCTCTAACTATCTTGTCTCTCATATCATATTTCCCCTCCTTCTCTTTAGTCATCCTCTTTCTCTTGGGACATTTGCAATATGCCACCTATTAACCATGCTGCCGTATCAGTCGGCGTCGTCGCCCTCACGGTTGCTGTCGCAGCTGCCGTAGCAGTCTACGAATCACCTGAACTACAGCGCATGGCAAGCGACCTCCGACGTCGAATTGCCATCGCACTCCACGCTCTCGGCGATAGTATTACCCCCGCAGAACGAGAGAACCTTTTCAACAGGCCCGAGGATGCCGAAGGATTTTTACAATCTCGAGGTTTTGGTGCCGAGGGAGAACCGGGTGTCGATGCTGACGATGAAACCCGCCGAAGACAACGAGAAGAGATACTGTACTGGAATGCTGTGCGCGAGGAAAAGAAAGAAAAGGAACGCAAAGACCCGGAGAAAACAGACACTTCGCGCCGGCGGCCTTCGACGAGAGGTTCGAGTTTCGATGACTTTATGCAACAGGATAACGCCGCCGAGAAGGGTGCCTTTGTTTTCCAATCGGGATCAGAGCCTCAAAATACCGATGGTCTACTTCGACGACGTGGAGAAGGGGCCCGAGGTCTCGCCCAATCTGTCTATACGAATCCCTTTACTGATGAGCACGGAATCGACGAACACATTACTTTCGAGAACAGCTTAGTAGACCCTGAAAAGGATGAAATAGAGTCGGATATTTACAGCGCTAGCACACAACTGGGCGTCAAGAGCGAAACTCCTACTGACGTTATCCCGCCGTTAATCAGCATTGAGAACCAGACGCCGGCTACGCAAGCACAACCTGCCCAGACATCCGAACGAGAATTAGGCCCTGACGAATTCATGACTGCTGGACAAGATGACAGAAACGATGCGTACAGCTCCATCCAGGCTTGGGCTCATGACGCTTCAACCGCTAGCTTCTATTCGCCACTACCAGTATCACCCGCTGCACCTCTGTCGGATGCCGAGTTCTTGAGTGAAGGTGTTCTGACCCCAACAGACTCCGCTTCGCTAGCAGGCTCAGGTGAGGATGTTGGAGATGATGCTGTATCTGCCAGGTCATGGACTGAGGGCCGACATTACGATGTCATGAGCGATGACGAGGGCATGATGACTCCTGCAAGCTGGACTGAAGTCGGAAGCGTTGTAAGCGAAAGTGATGCTGGCGTAGCGCATGCAGCACAGCACTAAGAAGGACATATCTCTTTCGTCTATTATTTCGCATATTCTCATGGCATGGCGTATTTAGGTAAGGGATTCGGACATTGAAAGGGTAATGGATTCAATATGGAGAGATGGATTAGGCATCCTCGATTATCGAGCTTTGATTTGTTTTGACAGTAGAGAGTTTGGTTTATAAGATGTAGTATTGCGCACTAAATGGGTATCTACGGCTCGTCTCAGATAAAATGAAAAAAGGATTCCGCCAACTCTTACGCTCAGTCTCTAGGGAATTCTAGTCATCTCTCTATCGGTATACTCTACCCTTACAACCCTCGTGGTGTTTAGTGGTGGCTAGACTTAATCCTTCTACTCGCCCTTTAGTAATGTCTTCTTATAGTCCTCAAACAACTGCTCTACCGGTCCCCCAACTAGCTCGGTCCAGAACGCCTTCTCCTCGTACCTTTCCTTCCGTAGCTTCTCATTCATCCGGCGTATAGTCCCCTTGCCGAACCGGTCCTCGAGGTATTCTAGGAAATATGCCGTGCCCTGGTACCCGACATCCCATTTCGCGGGGATTTGCTCCCGACTCCAGTGCGGCGGCGCGAGATCGGATTGCAGGCGCACCCAGTCGGCCACGCCTTCAATCAGGCCCCCCGGTGCCCGACCCCGTCCGTTCCACTGGTAGCAGTGGACGAGCTCGTGCAGCAGGACGCCGTGGATCTCGTCGGATTGCCGGGACGACGGGGCGATGGAGGAGATGTACCGGAGCGAGAAGTGGATTTCTTTGTGGTCCGAGTCTAGGTCCGAGCCCGTCGTGTAGGCTACACCGTCCATGTCTCGCAAGATGAGGGTTACGGAACGCGTTGGCGGGGGCGAGGAAGGGGATTGGGAGTACAGTTGCTTGTGGATGGACTCGATGCTGCTGCATAGCACGGTGGCGGCGTTCACGGAGGAGAGGAATATCGAGGACCCCGGGTGTGCGATGTCTTGGACATGTAGACGTAGGCGCGGGAGCTCGGTGGCGGAGGAAGAGGTGTCTTGGTTTTTGTCGTCCGGTGTCTCGCCGCCCTTCGGCCGCGTGGGAATGGCGGACGGGGCTGGAGCCGGAGCCGGAGCCGGGGACTCTACGGCGTGAGACATGCCGGGCATAAAGACGGGTTGGGGTACTGGCGTGGTTGCTGGAGGGGGGGGCATGGACAAAGGAGGGCTGGTTTCCTCTTTGTATTGTGAAACTCTGAGATGGATGTGGAGGGTTTCGGTTCCGGAGAGGTTATTGGCTGCGTTGAAGGAACTCATGGGGTGGGAAATATGTAGGTATATAGTATATAGGTATTTATAGTAGTATATAGGTATTTAAAGTAGTATAGAGGAGGGGCAATTACCCAAGTCTATAACTAATGGGGTATTGCGATGAATATGTGGTTAAGTCAAACTTGGGGGTTGTTGCTGCTGCTGCATTTAATAGGGGGTATTACTACCTTAGCTAATGAAGCTTTAAAGAGGATTTGTTACTCGTTGCTTGTAACTAGTATATGTATAATAGAGAATACAGCTTAACGCTATAGAAAAGGTCTATACAAATAATTGGGTATCGTGTAAGCAAGCTAAGACGTAGATCGCATGAGGCTCTTTATAGGAACGACAATATGATGATGTTTACTTGGTCAGCTTCAGCTTCGTCGTGCCCCTCATCGATTTCCTTGGCGGGGCAATTTGCTATTTGCTAAAATTGAGCTGCATTGGGGTTCTTAATCCTTCCCTGATGAGGGACCCTTAGCCCCTGCCTCTGGGGTGTCACAGACCTATTTCTTGCCTATCATGTCGCTACATGGATAGGAGGGATCAGTTAGTGCCCATTGAGTGTTTTAGTGCTGTGCAGGTCCCACAAAAGCACTCACAGATGTGGATACCCCCGAATGCCGTTGTCGTGGTGCAGAAAGTGGCCATTTCCCGCATCAACAACTTGCAACAAATTATGACAACAATACAACAATACACATGAGAGAAAAATAACGAGTAGTTTCTCAGAAATTGTTGCTTTTGTCACCTTTTTCTATCTAAAAATCCCAGCTTCGTCTACATGCGCATTAGTAGAAAGCGACTAATACAATCTCTGGTGCCATTAATCATTAAATTAGCTCTGGAACAATCGTCGCAAACTTTTGTTATTTAAACCAATTCAATTTTCTGAAACTGAGTCAGTCCATACCACTACTACATCGCCGTTCGTTAACTACCGAGGCCCCTATCTGCCAGTTCTGCCCAACCGCGATAGCTCTGTAACCTAACTTCGTCGTATCCTGCCTTGCACGTTCATTATACGAGCACGACTACATAAATCCGTCCTTATTTTGGGACCTGCGACGCACTGCCAGATCCTCATTCCCCCCGAGGACCATGGCCGAAATGCTCACTGAGGATCAGGTCGCCGGCCTGCTGACTATCCTTAGGAAGGATGTCTCCGTCGACACGAAAGTTCAACACATTACTGCCGTTAAGTCTGCTATTAAGCATTATAGCGTACCTGATGTCTGCGTCGCGCCGCTCTTCGAAGCCCTTCGGCTCGCCTCGAGCTCGCAGCACTCGGTCCTTGTCAATGCTGGCTTCACTACGCTAAACCACCTCCTAACGCGCATGTCGCTACAGGAACCCAAGTACCTTGCCAAAGAAGCGAAACACACGCTACCGCTCATCGTCGAAAAGATGGGCGATCAAAAGGATAAGATAAGGGGACTAGGTATACAAGCTATGGCCACCATGTATAGCAATGTACCGATAGACGCCGAGAGATTCGTGCGCAATACTGCTATGGTTGGAAAAAATCCAAGGTCAAAGGAATCGAGCTTGCAATGGCTACTACAGGTATGCGCGATCCTCTACTAGTAACGCGACTATAGAGACATATGTTACCGGGCCAGTCGCTAACGTGACGCAGATGCACAAGGATCAGGGCTTACAATTCCGTGCTTACGTACCAGCTTTGATGGAGCTACTAGAGGATGCCGACGGCATGGTTCGAGATGCGACCAAGAGCACCGTGATAGAATTGTTCAGGTTCATAAAATTCTATTCCCTATATAAGCAACATGGCCTCTAACATTAACTACAGGGACGCGCCGAATGGAGCGAAGACCGATCTAAAGAAGCAGTTGAAGAACTTCAAAGTACGACCTGCTATAGAACAGGCTATAGTAAAGGAATTAGCCCCGACGTCTTCAAGAACAGACCCCGAATCAAGACCCGCGTCGGCAATGCAGGTGCGACCAAATCTCGCAGCGAGCGTTTCCTCCCTTGCTAGCGAACGACCAATAACACCAATGCCCGACCCCAAGGCGGAGTCGGTCGAGCCCTCATACGTCAACACCAACCGAGAATTAGAAGATCTATTTAGAGATATGCATCCATGGTTTGAAGGCAAGGAGACCGAACAGAACTGGTTGAAAAGAGAAGAGAGCATGACTAAGTTACGGAGACTCATTGCTGGCAACGTACCGTCGGATTTCCCCGACACCTTTGTTGCTGGTTGTCGAGCGTTACTTGATGGCATCCTCAAGGCCGCCAATTCCTTACGAACAAGTTTGTCTAAAGAGGCCTGCGCTTTCGTCCAAGAGCTTGCCAATACCTTTGGGCCGGCAATCGACCCAATGGTTGAATTGCTGATGCAGACCTTTATAAAATTGTGTGCGGCGACCAAGAAGATAAGTTCCCAATTAGCTAATACATCGGTGGATATCATCATTGGAAGGACTACGTATAATGCTAGGATCATGCAACACATATGGGGTGCTTGTCAGGATAAGAATGTGTCGCCGAGGATGTACGCTACCGGCTGGTTAAAGACTCTGTTGAAGAAAGAGGCACATCACAAGAATCATCTGGAGCATGGCGGAGGATTAGACATGATCGAAAAGTGCATCAAGAAGGGTCTTAACGATCCCAATCCCGGTGTCCGCGAGAAGATGCGCTCGACGTACTGGGCGTACGCCGCGATCTGGCCAGCGAGGGCAGAAGCGTAAGTTGATTAATATTTCCATTTTTCTGGTGTGCTGGCTAACTGTTGCAAAGAATTATGGACGGTCTTGAGTCTACCGCCCAGAAGTTATTACAGAAGGATCCTAACAATCCAAATTCGCCAAAGAAATCTGAGCCTGCCCCTCGTCCGGGGTTAGGCCTTTCGAAGAGTACTATGACGTCCTCGAAGCCCTCCTTAAGAGATGCCATGATAGCACAGAAGAGGGCCCTAGCATCGAAGAATTTACCTTCTCGACCGGCGTCGGCGATGGCGGTCACGCCGGCGCGGAGCGTGTCCGGCGGCTCGTCGGGTATGTCAGCGACTTCACATGGGACCAGTACCGCGACTCGAACGCGTGCAGATACATCGACGAAGTCTCATGGTGGTATGTCGGTAGCTCCAATGCGACCAGCTAGGAGAAGGCCAGATGTTGCGCCCCGACCCGCTACTGCCGGGCCTTACTCTGTTCGGTCGCATGATGGGCCATCAAGAGAGCAGACAAGTCCCTCTCACAGCACGAAACAAAAGGCTGCGACCCCGAAAACGATCTCGGGATCTCCTAGAAGGACAGTCCCGAGAACTAGGCCCGGTCATGTGGCAACTGCTAGCGAGTCTAGCATTTCATCTCCGTCGAAGGAGGCGGCTCATAAGGCTGTTGCTTCTCCAAAAGCGAGTCCGGCGAAGCCCAGTCCAGTGAAGGCTAAGCCAATAGTGAACGAAATCAGCTATAGCAGCCCCTCTAATTCAAACGAAGATTTCACCCTTGTTGTGCCAGATATCGCACAGTTGAAAGAGAGCATACAGATACAGTCTACTCCGCCCAACCCTTCTCCTAATGTGCCGGTAATTGAAGCACCGACAATCGAAGCACCGACAATCGAAGCACCGACAATCGAAGCACCGACGGTCGAAGTACCGATAGTCGTTGAAGATGAAGAAGTAACAGTCCTTCACAAAGCCGCAACCCCAGCCCCGACACCGTCGAAGTCACTAAAAGTATACGAAGATCCTTTTACGGAGGAGGACCAGCCGACGCCTCACCCAGCGGCGAATGGTATAGTCGATCGGCCAGTATTGGAAGATAAGCCTATTAACGAAGATGCTGCTAATCTCATACACCCCACGGAAACGAACGAGGTCCTTGGCAGCCCTTTTGCGTCGCCTGACAAAACACGTCAAAACTCCCGTCTTATCGACAGCGGCATCGCTCGTGTGAAAGCGCAAAGCCTTGATGTGCATGGCTTCCGTAAATTACAGAGCCTTGTCCGCGATAATAAAGTGCTCCTCCCCGATGATAAGTTTGACGCCTTACTACTTGGGCTCTTCGAGTACCTTGAATCACCTCTTGACAATGTTGTCCCTGAGAAGGTTCAAGACGTAAAGGCGCAAATTCTCGCTACCATCAAGTTACTACTGAAAAAGTCTCGCGACAGATTTCAACCCCACGTGTCTAGGGGACTAGAAGCTTTACTCGCTGCGCGTACCCGCTACGACGCGCGGACGCACATTGTCAGCGGGTTGGAGCTACTAGCAGATGAACTAGTGACGATTGGTGACGAAGGCGAGATCACGGTGACCATGACGCGCAACCTAAGCAACATGGACATGGACACGTCCGGACACCGCAGCCTGAGCATGGGGCTGCACGTGCTGAAGGAGCTCTTGGACGCGCGGTCGTCGTTCACGCCTGGCGAAAACGAAGTGGCGGGCCTGCTCAACCTCGCGACAAGATGCCTCGAGAGTAAGGAGAGCGGCGTCCGCATGGACGCGGTGCAGCTGTGCGTTGCGCTGCACGCGCGTCTCGGCGAAACTAGGTTTTGGGAAAGCATGAAGAACGTCAAGGACGACCCCAAGAGCCTTATCACGTATTACATCGTCAAGCGGCAGAGGGAGAACGGAGGGGTCGCCGCTTAGATGAGCGGCGGCTCGCGGTTTTTCGCTCGAGGGTGCGGTGTCTTTGCTTTCTTTCGTAGTCGTGGTCGTTGTTGATAATACCCTGTTCGGCGGTGGTAGGGAGATCTATCTAGGTCGTCCGTGTCTGTGTCTGTGTCTGTGTCTGTGTCTAAGTATTTGCCTCTGTGTAGTGTGGTGGTGGTCCGCGTCGGGGTGGGTGGATGTATATCACTAGGGATAAGGGAGTTTGTTTGGTCCGGCTAGGTACGCATACTATACCTTGGGTACTTTCTACGGCTCCGTTCTGCGAAGCGCTGTTTACGGGGGGACACGCGGTGTTGGCGGGTGGGCGAACGGAAAGGGAGGGGTACCTATGCCTATACTTATTACCTATACCCGCTAGGTACTCGAGGGAGGGAGACCTGCCTACTTATCGTACACATTTTGTAATAAATAGTGCTCGCACTTCGTGGCAAGCTTGTAGATTCAATGGAACGGGGAGCGATATTTACGATATAATATGGGAGGGTGTGTCTGTAACAGTATCGGGTACTCATGGTTTTACGTCGAGGATTATAAGCCTCGAGGAGATTTACATAATAGTTCTTTACGCTAATTGACTCTAATAATAGTATTTCCAGTTCAATGATATTCTGAATGCTGGAAGTTCGAGATAACATATATATAAGCCTCGTTATACCATTTACTTGGCAAACTAGAGGTCTGCTAACCCACTTCTAATAGTTCACTTAACTCACTCTGTACTTGTCTTTCCTACTTAGAGGACTTTTCTATGAGCTTGTCTAACCACTGATCTTTGGACATGGCTGCATCCTGAAGATATTGTTTATTAGTTATTAGTATCACATAAAAGCATATTCGGAAGAAGACTAGAAATGAATCATCGACTTACTACTAAAAGAAGAAACTATTATATCCCTCTCCCTAATAGAGAGGTAGGTAACTATCTAAGTACTAGTAATATATTTTCACATGGAGAGGTTTCACTTATATCCCTTCCGGTGAGATGTCCGTGACCGGGGATACAAGGGATGTATGTTGGTAGCAAACGCCCAACCTACCAAGCTATAGCGAGACCGAACTACCAACAAACAAAGCTACACGAACCAGATCTCCCCATCAGTCCACCGTATAGGCCTACATAATCGCCTATCCAAGACCTATCCTTCCGCCCGAGGCAGCCCGAAATCTCGACAGTACCGATCCAACTCCGCAACCGCTTTACCAACAGCAACTGCTTTGACCGTCTCATACTCAAGGTCCAACCTGGTGATTCCGGCATCGTCATGTGCGTCTACATTGCCGTCCCAGTCGAAACGCAGAAGCTTCACGGCGTCGTCGGCTTCGAAGTCGGGATTGTCGGCTACAATGGCCATATGTCTGTGAGTCTCCGGGTGGGATTTGCAGAACCACGGGAATAGGCGTGTGACTTCGGGTAACCCGCCGGTGGTGGAGTAGTTCCCGCCTAGGATCACGCGTCTGTGTTCTACGGGCGTGCTGTAATAATTGGGCTGGAGCTTTTCCGGGAGGTCTAGTGCTGTAGTTTTTGTAAGTTATGTAGGTATGTTCCTCATTTCAAATTGTTAGTAGGAAAGTTACCGTTCTCGACTAGACTGAAGCAAGCATATTGGAACCGGGGCGGCGCAGCATCCGGCTGCTTAGGCTGGTTAGACTCCGGCGTCCAAGGCATGGCTTTGTCGCCCCACTCCTCCGCTTCTTCCTCCTTGAGGTCCTCCCAAGACATGTTACCAATGTCGAGGTTCAAGCCCCAGCTCGCGGCCCAGTCCACGCTACACCGGGCCTTGTCGACGCGGTCTTCCTCTCCGTCTTGGCCCGTGTGGAGGTGCACGACTAGTACGCCGTTTCCCTTGTAATCAGCATCAATGGCTACGATGAAGTAAAGGGGGTGGACTGAGTGGTCCTGGTCGCGGAGCTGGATGTGGTAGTCGTAGATGTCGCGAAGTGGGCGGTTAGCGAAGTCGTATTTAGGAGCTAGTTTACAAGTCCCGGGCTCGATCTCTTCGGCTGCGTTTAGTCGGCTTACTAAATCGTCTAGAGTGCTCAAGTCAAGGGGGAGGATTGAGTAGACGGCTTGCGCATAGCTTTCTCCCGCAGTGGCACGATGTTGGTTGTTATTTGGGGCCGTCTTTGGTAAAGAGAGATCTTGATTGAGAGCCATACTAGCTATTGCCGCACTAAGAATTCTAAATATGATACGGGTGTGGTTAAGAGCTGAACTAATTAAGTCGTTTATATTGAAGTATTGAGGGTTGATGATGCGATGTTAAGCTCTGGGTTAACTTGGTGGTTGCAATAGACCAACAATAAACCCCCTGGGGTTTCTTTATAAGTTTGGTTCTAAAACATAAATCTAGGTAGGTTCAGGCATGTCCCCCATGAGCTTCTATGTGCTACGTTACTCGCCATATAATTGAGCCATGTTAAGTATACTTGGTTCCTGGAAGTATTTACTGTATCAACTATCGCCGTGATATAATAATAAGGATACACACAAACTAGGACTATAGACCACCAGGTTTAACGCAACGCAGCTCTTCAACCATATACATCATATTTATGTCTTAATCTACTCTTTATAAATGAGACTTCCAGTTTCACTACATAGTTCCCAGGTGAGTGTTAGACTTCGAAGTATTGCAATGTGTGATCCGCCGCAGAATACAGCAGTGTCAGAAATCAGCTAACACAAAATATGTACAACTATGATCGGTGAAGATAGCTAATGTGTCGAGGAATGGTGTAACATATAACGTGTAACTCTGACTTAAAGTCTAGAATATCCTTGATTTTCGAGGGCACCGCCGAATCTCGAAGGCTCAGCAGTATACGCCTATACGCCTCGGTCAAACATTGTACACAGAGCTCATACGAGGCATTAAGAAAGTCGCTCATCTGAATTGATCTCTAGGATACTGTTATACAATATGATCCTTCGTATTTGTACACAATCAAGCCGGTTTGTTCGACTCAAAAGTTTCTAAATCTGAGATACATCGGTTACTACATTACCAATTCTTACGTCTATGGCTCTGAGGGTCCGAGAAACTCAGCATACACAAACTATTATGCAGTAGCAGCAATACTATTTACAGGATAACAGAGTATTTATTCCTAGAACTTGTCTGTCTGTAGGTACACCCCGTCTGCTTCATTAAATAACTACCCAGCGTAAGAATCATACGAGCCTGTTGGCCATCATACTTCCATTAGTGAAGATCATCAATGGCCTCTTGAGACGTGACTGAAATGACTTGATGAGGATCTAAGACAGCATCATTGAAAACCTGTTATTGCCCTTCATCCCATGCCTTGTACACCCCCAACTGAGCGGTCAGCGTGTGAATCTCATCCTTTGCAGTTGGGGGCATGTTGGTTCCGATTCAATGAGTGATGAACCTGTATGGACCGTTAAGCCCGTAGCGAGCCTGATAATAGAGCTATAGATATGAGTGTCTGGTAATAATATAAAAGATGCTTAGATGGACCAAGACTGAGCAACTGAAAATAAGCATCGACAGGCCAAACATAGTCCTCTCTACCTTTCAGCCCCTTTTTACACCATAGACTCCAGATAAAATGCGCTCTACAATCGTGCTTGGCCTTATGGTTATATTATCCCGTGCCACACCTCCTATGACATTCGACTGCGCCAACGATATGCAAGGTACGCGAAAACCCAGCCCGGAAGACAACTGGCTTGATCGAGTCCATATCTTGTGGTTCTATCGTCTTTATAGACTTATATATAGGTACATTATTCTAACGATATTCATAGATATCTGCGATAATATGTGCTGGGGGGCATATTGCACACATCCGGCCTTTGGCAGCACGTTGGAATACGACAATTATGGTGGCACCGGTTCCCGTGAGGGTAGCATTGGCAAGCGGCGCACTAACTCAGCCGGATGCACTCCTAGGCCCAACAGATGCAGCGTGCGTCGAGATAAACTATTCAAAATAATACCGAGTCGCTAGTGCTAACCACATATACAACAGTCCGTCCCTAAGAAAAATTGTGACGAATACCCCTTCGCGAGCACAAGTGACGCAGACAAGGGCGGCCAAGTCACAAAATGCGTTGTTAGCGGCCACAACTCTCGTAAGTAACCACCACCAGCAACCGAATATCAACTTGATTAGAAGGCTCACGTCCATACCTACCCATGTACTACTCTAGGCCAAGGCTCCATCATCAGCCAGTATGTTTCAGCCAACTGCAACAAGCAGAAATGCAGCATCATAGTCGGATTCGGAAACCCGAACACCCACGGCGTAAAGTACTGCAAGGCCTACAGCGATCCTTACAACCAGTGTGTTCCCGACGGGACCATCTGGAAGAACGGCAAGGCGGATGTGCGTCCGCCCAAGTCCGCTTCGAGGCGTAGCATTGGTAATAATACGACGGTGTCCTTGCCCGGAGGCTTGTATCTCATGAAGTCTGGGGTGGAGGTCGCTTTTGGTAAGTCTAGGTAGCAACTTATTTCGGCGCCTTGCAATAACTACCTACCTGCTAATGGGCCTTGATATATAGGAGCGAATTTGGACGTCGGCACTAAGACGAAGCGCGCGGCGCCGAGGAACGCGACATTTGCGCGGAGAGCGCTGGATGGTCTCGAGGATGAGGAGGACGTCCGTTGGGACTTTCACGATGACGAGATTGTGGCTCGTCTTGAATAAAATATAGATACGGTTCGAGTGGCATAGTTACCTGTTCTCAGATGGCTAATAAAGGTTCTTTTCCCCCTTATTTTATATGAAAATGATATAGATCGAGGTACACGCACCACTTACTATTTCGTACAATCAAATCTAGGGGCCACCAACAATGAAGCTTATAAGAACGCCCCGGTCAAAATTAGATGCGGGTTAAAATATGTTAGGTCAGCTAGGTATCATATACAGAATGCATCTCCCCCCAATTTCGCTTAGATCTCATCCCCCTATCAATAGATACTAGCAAGCTGAAACAAACCACCGAGTCCCTCATCGATATCATGTCTTCCAGTCCTCGTAGGGCTAGACTAATGTTCCTTAGACGTCTTCTCGCTTTTAGCCTGTTCCTTGAGCAAGTCTTCGATACCTAACAATCAGTCTCCTTTTCGTATAAAACAATAGGTTAGGTACTTATGCGCAGTGCTTAGGGAGCGGGATTCATCACCCGTGGAATAACGCGGCACGGTCTCGAATTGCTTACCATGGCCTTCTCTTCTCATATGTTGTGTCCTTGCCTTCGATGCGTTTCCTTCTTCAATCTACTTAGTCCCGTTTGTCCTTTGATATCAGGTACGGTACAGGAATGTGCATTTTATGCTTACCTTTCCCCTTATTCTTTTCCTATTACTGCCTCCAAGAAACACCCCCTTGGAATTAGCTTACGTTTCTTGAAATTTTCCCTTTATCTTTTTGCCCAGGTTTTATATTGATTTCCCCTTCGTCTTGCATAAATGGCTTCTTTAAAGTTGGTGCCTGGTTCAGGTATTAGACTTAAAGGTAAAACAATTACCGCGGTTAGACTACAGTGTAGGAATCGGCTGTAGGTTACATGTTAAAAGGTATGAAAGGGACTTTGTTATTCTGCAAGGAACCTAAACTAATGGAAGCCCTTGGCTATACATACTGAAATATCCTTTGGTCTAGATATCTCATTTAGAATCCTAACACCAAGGCTTGATGTCCAGTATAGGTCACAGTTTAACTATTCAAACAAGGGAAGCCAATAATATATGCAGACAATATCACAAGTTATAAGACCACAATATACCGAAATCCTCACAAAATCGGGAGTTATATTATCAAGAGGCGAATCGGCGACCTAACAGAACAAATGTATGTCTTCGTCTCTGTCCCTATCGGCCCAAGTGTCAAGACAAGACGGGACCAAACTCAAAAGCAAAAAGCAAACTAACCCTTAACACCTGACCATGATCGCAGATGCGTACATCGTCCTCATCTGAACATGAGGGAGAGGGGGTATTTTGTCCAGTCTAGAAAAACGATATTGAAAATCCCTTTGCCTTTTTTCCATGCATGCAAAAAGTCTTGTGCGAGAATGCCGAAATTTCGTGAAACGCCAATTCCAGAGTGGGCTACCTAAGTACCATCCGTGTCGTGAGACGTGCCGTTTTTTCCGACAGAAAAGAAGACAAAAGAGATCTCTTGCAAGTTTTTTCTTTTATCTGTTTGTTCATTCCATCCCCATTTGAATTGGTGAAGATGGAAGTGCTGAGAACTTTGCAGGAGATATGTGTGTGAAAACACAGCGCACACAGCGCGCATAGTGTCGGCAAGTTGTATTAGTCGTGCAGTCGTACAGTCGTATATACCTCATGAGTCTATATTCATGAATCGTGATGGCTTGTTTCCTATTTTCCTTTCATCGAATTCTGCATATCCGAAACGCGCGTATGAAAGTCGTTAGATGCCTATAGGCAACTGAGAAGTTTGTACAAGAATTGTGTGAAATGCAATGCGTCCTATAACAGAGAGTAGTATGTAGGACCAGGAGAGGCTCTTAGTTGTTGAGCAGGAGAGGCGCACAGAATAAGAACTCGAGAGATCGTGAATCTGTCGGCTGGAAGTTGTTCTGATCGCGACGCGCCTCCAAGTAAGCAGTGGTGACATTGAGATTGTGGAAATAGTTCTGCACCGTCGGGTCATTCTCATTAGCCACAATGGGCGACTCAGGGCTCATGGCCATGGTCTTCGGAAGGATATGTCGGATGACTAGCAGCATTTTAAGCAGCTCAGTCAACTCCTGTCCCTGGTTCGTGAAGCTGCTGGGTGGCTTCTCCAGCGGCCACTTAGGGCGAAGGTTCTCCTCATCCCACGCCTTAAACGCCCAGGTAGTCTTCTCCATGCAGTTGAGGAAGAGCATGACAGTCAGGAACATGGGAAAGCCAAGTTTAGCCTTACCGTCCTGCAGATGCTTCTGGATACCATTCAGTAGGACTTTGCTAGCAGCGGATGCTTTTCGCTCAGCTGCCGCAGTGAGCTGCATGCAAATATTGGTATAAGCTTCGCAGTCGGAATCATCCTTGATCAAATAGTCCTTGACGTCCTCCTTAGAAGACTTTGCCAACATTGTCCATTGGCGCTCTCTGTCCATCATCTCAACAATTCCCCATAATTCCAGAGACCTCTTGAGCAGTTCGTCATTGGTACTGTTTGCGACCATGATAGCCACATCCAAGGTGACTCGTACATAATGAGACGGCTCACGGCGGATGAACTCGTTAAGAGTTTCACGCATATAGGCCTCAACCTTTCCCGGAATATCCTCGTTGTTGTCAAGCAATATCACCGGGCCAGGGCTACCATCGCAGGGAAACCCGTTGTCCTTCTCTTTGGAAGTTCCCTGTAAAACTTGGAAGACGACCTTGTGTCCAGTCTCCGGGAAGTGAGAGACTTCAAGGGTGATGCCTGCGTTCTGTAAATTGTGGCTAGACTTGTAACCATTAATCCTCTTTTGAGCCATTACAACCTGTACCCCGGCTGAGTACAGGTTGATATGCTCTGAGAGCTTGGTTCGCACACATCCGGTGCGCCAAATTCGAGGTGCAAGAACTTTCTTACAGGCATTGCACGGTGTACCCTTCGAGCACGTCTTGCGTAAAATGCGACAGCGAATGCATGCTCCAATGCGACGAATCTCCTGAACCTCCTTTCGGCGACCGGAGTCGAACCGTGCCCGGCTATGGCGGTGACGGGCTCCATTGAGAGTATTGCTTGTATCCATGCGAAAGCCACCCCTGTTTAGAGTTGCTACCAAGTGCTGACCGTGATCATTGACTGTTGCAGGGGCGTGAATATCCTCAGGCATATACGTCATGCCGTCCCAAGGAGTGGCAGATTCATTCGTGTTCGGCGGTGCGTGCTGTCTCTCAGGCGAAGGGGGGTAGTCAATCAGCATCTCCGTAGACTGGGTGTGGGTAGGAGTTTCGGGAATGGCTTCGTCGGTCAAGAGCTGAGGGTCTAACAGAGACGGATTGAGACGAGCTGTTGCTGCTACAGCTACCGACAACGCAGAATGAGTAGGCGACATAGCTCTAGCTTCGAATGCCTGCCTCAGCCTGTCCTCTGCGGTGAGGGGCTTATGCAATACATCGATATCTAAAGAAATTATTTGTCAACGTACATCTTTATCGCTATAACTCGACTTGAGGCCATACCCTTAATATCTCGATGTGACTGGCTGTCCAGATTGGTCGGTGGGTTCTCCAAAGTGAACTGCTCATGGAGCTCGAAAGAATTGGCGGTAGCTGTGATAGGCACAACGGCGGCGGCCAATGTTGTTTGAACAGCTTCGGCTGTAGGGTCTTGCGTAGTCGGCACATGATCGTCGTGCTTCTCATTGGCTTCAATCTGACGAGAGACTTCAGCAAGGGTTTCTAGGGGTGTCCAGATCTGATTCTGGGATTGCTCGAGCGAGGTCACAGGAGAAGAGCCGTGGAGATGGCTGGGAAAAGGGCCATGGTTAGGACCGGTGTGCAAAAGACCTTCGAATCTTGGTCTGTTTGAGCCATTGCTGATACCGTGTAGGGTAAGACACGCGTGAGCTCTGTCGGCTTCAGAGATTGCGGGACACTTCTTGGTTAAATGGTTCGTAAGGCTGTCAATGCGACCCTTAGGGAAATCCTCGCCACAAGATTTGCAGGTATGATGATATCGATTGCTGTTGTCGTTCAATTTGGCGCCGCGCTCGAAGTACTCGAGGATTATAGGATTGGGCTTGCGGCCCATCTTGTCGGATTGACAATGTCGTCACTCAAGGTTCGAGTAGATGGCAGAATCGTGCGGTGAGTCCAAAAAGATTTGATTATGGAAAATTGATCGGCCCGACAATTTGAAAGTAGGAGTTAGGTCCTGGGAGGATAAACAGATGGTGGGGAGCTTTAATTGATGGGCTTTAATTGATGGGATGGTAAGGGATCTTCCCAGTTCGTCTCAAGTCGCCGCCCCACTTAGGCAGGTACATAAGGTCTAAGGTTAGAATCAAACAGCAAGCGCCGTGGGGTTGCAAAGAAGGTACGATACACATCGGAATGTACGTATTATGTAGATTGGGGAAGCTACCCCGCGGTCGCACCTGAACATCAACATAGGTACATACAAACCGTGCAGGCACGGAAAATACGTGTAGATATCTGAGGTAGTCGCTTACCTAAGAGTTGCTGAAAGCAGCTTGAGGTAGGTACCTTCTGTCCTTGAGGGCTCTCCCATTGTGAAGTACTTGGACCCCTAGTATCTCTATATGAAGAGAGTTTAAGCATTATAAGAGATATTCTAATAGCGCTAATGACAATTAAACCTGAACTCACTCAACAGCTGAACATATGTCAATGGCACAATGCAAACTCCCAGAAATACATCAATCCTATCTTTTCCCATCTTTGTGACTAATAGGCCAATACCAAATATGCCTTTTAGTTAACCACTAGGTCAGCTAGGTTAAGTACCTACCTATAGTTAACAAGTCTTGTCCCGCGCTTAACATCTATTTCATAGCAACTTTACAATTCTATGAGCTAGCATTCGGGATATCGGACTCTACACACCTGGTCGATATAGTCACCTTGATTGGTAGATTATTATTGTATTACTAGTCGATAAGAGCCTCTCCGGGTATAGCAAGCTACTGCACCACATTCAATGCAATACTACCATATTAAATTGCAAGG